CTGTTATATTATATGTTTATTATATTATATTGTATTATAATATATTGTATTATTACTATGTTATATTATTACGATGTTATATTATTACTATGTTATGTTATATATGTTCTGTAGAAAAATCTTTGCAGCATTGTAAAAATAATTCAGGCACAAACTCCTACTGAGTCTGTGTGTTGCTGACATGCTTTACATTCCAGTAAATGTAACTGTCTGAGCCTTTTCTCTTGCCTCTCAATACATGTTCTTGCCAAATACGTGTGTGCTATACTGTGGTGCCCTAGAGACTATCTCAGCTCATGCCAGAGATTCTGCATTCTCAGAAGTAGCTATATAATAACAGCATTGCTTCTCTGTAGATTTGATTGTAGATTTGTTGAGAGTTAGTATTTAACTGATTCAGCTTGGGTCTAGAGAAACCTTTTTCGTATTTACAACATTTTTCTACCAGGAGGAGATAATTTTATTTATTGTGTAAGGCTACTAGTTTATTCAGAAAAGAGAAAGCTATGTCAAGATGGGATCCTTTAAATGTGAAAGAAGGGTCCATTCCAGATCTTCAGATGCAGCAGGTCTTCCAGTACAGCCTTGTAGGCACTGAATCCTTTGACTACAGACAAACTTCTAGATTTTTCTCCTATAGAGGTGAATACAGTTTCCAAGCAGCAGAGGATGCTTGGTGGTACATCTCAGCTGCCACAGTTGAGTGCTTTAAAGAAAAATACAGTTTCCAAGAAAAGTGGAAATTTCATGCTAGTGGCATAAAATGCAGCCTGATCCCTTTTGCAGCAACACTTGGAAGGCAGCAACATGTCTTGTGCTTCATTGCCCCCGTGAGCAGACCGTTTTTCATTATTTGTTCTGCAGCAGTTACCACCTAAGATGTCAGAATGAGCAGAAGTCGTCAGTATCTGGATGAAAAGCAGCTGCGTCGACTCCACGTAGGACCACTTTGGCATTTCCTTAGTAATAATAATGTTAGGTTCTTCAAGAAAACCTTGGAGATCACTTCATTAAACCCTACCTTTCTAAGGAGGGAAGGCAGGCAGCTGCAATCATTAGAAGGATCAAAAACTTCTTAGAGCTTACAGTAATCACCAAAGCTGGACAAGTAATTACATGCAGTGAGTAAAATGTCTTCTTTTACATTCCACCTAAAAGTGAACTGTAGTACACGTAGTTGGGCCTAGTTCTCACCACGTCATGTGTTACCTTGTTCCAAATGCTGGGAGCTGGTGCATTTAAAGGTGAATATCTACATGTAAGGATTTCAACTGGTATAAAACGTGGCTGGATGTCTTCGGGCATTTTTCCTTTTTCAGTTTTGCAGCACAATCCCAATCCTTAGATTTCTCTTTTAATAAAAACGATGAAGGGCATTTCTGATTCTCTTTAGATACCATGTCTCCTGAGAACTGCAGGTTCAAAGGGCTTATACCTTTAATTTGTATAAAAAAGAGTATTTGAAGAACAAGCTAACCCTTAGAAAACTGCAGTTACCCAGTAGACACCATGTTCTCTTTGCTGGATAGTATGATTTTTGTATTTCCCCTAAAGGTCAGAGTACATTACATATTTATGTTCTTATATTTCCACAGAAAACTCAAATGGTATGTTTGGGGGGTGGGTGGGATGGGCTGTCTGTAGGTGAAGCTAGCCATTTATAAAATATTGCAGTTCATCTTGGAGGAGAAGATAAATGTTCTGAACCTGCCAATGTAATTAAGAGAAAAAGAAGACTCAGCTGCCAGTCACTGCTTAGAGTTATTGAACAGTGAAGGGCCAGGCATCAACAGAGACTCAGGGTGAAAATGTAGCTGTGTGCAGGTGGATTGAAGAGCCTGTGGAGCTATGTGGATTTACTTAGACTACTTGTCAGGGGTAGAAAAGCCCACAGATGTTGGCTTCTCTACCATTCTTCTGCAGGTGATAGGAAGCCCTGTAGAACCAGGAGGATGTCTTAGGAGGGCCCTTTCTAACACTCACTGTAATTAAGTACAGTGAGCCATGCAGATAAAAGCCAAATTTGGAAGATTTGTTGTAAAGATTCTGCACATTTCTAGTGTGTTTTGAGGATAATTCCTTGATAAATATGCATCTAGTAATTTCATTAAAATTTGCATTGTGAACCAAGTTGATTATCCTATTCAAATTTGGAAATTCCTGTAATGGCAGGGGAACTGTGGCGTTATACCTTTTCCAAACTGCAGTAGCTATTGTAATTGAACCAATAGTACTTAAAAATACAATCACTGTGTTTTATAAAAAAGTATATATACTGAGAATTGGGAATGAAGTATTTGTTGGAGGCAATATTTGGAACAGGAAGGACTTTGAGAATTCCAAAGAATTATGGAATCGTAATAGGAATTTGTTACTTTCCAGTATCAAAGGACAAGATGTTTATGCTAAGAAAACTCACTTATTTGACACAATTTTTATAAGGTGCCAATTGACACAACATTCCTCATTCACGTCTTCTTTAGTTTGAGCACAAGAACCCTGATTTCAGTGTACATGTTAGTGGCATGAATTTAATGCATAAAATGAACATGTGCAGGTACTTTGGACTTGAGAATTTTTTTTCCTGCTGTGGGTTGTATAGAAGATGCTGAGCAAGTCACTTTAGCTTTATGTGTTTGCTTTCACTTTGGCCAGTGAAAGCTGATTAAAAGAGTTTTTACTTGAGTCTGGAAACCAGATGATAGTTTCCCATCAACCTTGAAGATGGACTTGGAGAATTTGGAGTTTAGTTACAGCTACTGTTATCTGACTTAAGTTACAGCTGCTATTACCTGGTTAGGATAACTTTGTTAAAGTAATCACTGGAAAAGTTCTGAAGTTAGTAAGTAGCTGTCCACTAGCTAGTTGATAAGTGAATTACATTTGTGCCTTAATAAATCATTTCGTGCTCTTTTAGCAGATACTACACTGCAGTTGTCAGATATCATAAAGGTATACACACTTATTTCTTAGTAGTGGGGTTATATGAGCACCGTAGGAGTAATCCCCTTGAAATCAGTAAGGTCATGGTAGATTTATACAGGCATATAGTAAACAAGGATGGAATTAAGAGATGTTATAATGAGGCTTTGCTATACTGACTGTTGAAAATTTGACCTTTTACACTTGGCAATATCTTTGAGTGTGGCAGAATTTTGTTCCTTCCCCCTGCCTCCCATTCAATTTGCAAAATCTTTTGTGTGCTACTTGTGTATTTTCATGATGAATAGGTATGTGTTATGCCTCTGCTCTGTGCATCTGTGAATTTAAGAAGCAATTTAATAGAGGCAATTATGGACTAAGAAAAATAGTTTTAGTACCTCTAAGACAAGGTTTTCTTTAAATACTGTCTTTTAAAATGTTCTTAAGTGTTCACATACTTGCTTTGTCAACTCTTGGCAATATCACGTTTTAATGCCATTCTTGAAATAATGTCATGGGCAGTGGTCTAGTTTCTCCGTAGGTCTTCCAGAGAAAGTGTTCAGCCTTTTTCCTCCTGTATTCCAGTCTAAATGTGGATATTAGCAGCTTCCTTATTGCATGGTGTTGGTTACAGTCAAGTTGTATTTGTGCTCAATCTGTTATGAATATGTGTATTACCTGTCTGCTTTTGTTTAGAATACTTTTCACTATCTGCCCTAGCAAAAGCATAGAGAAATGTTGTTAGCAGGATTTGCAAAATATCCTTGTAATAAGAAACATATGCTAACAGATAGAAATCAAACTTCAGTATTTTTCAAGACTTTTTTGTGTTTACTTTGGGAGTTCTTTGTGTTTTCCTGTAAACAAGAAGGCAAAGTCTACTAGCAGCTGTTTTTCTGTTATACCTGTGGACAAGCCAGTAATTGCATTTGCTTCAACTCAGCCTCAGCATTTCTCAGATGAAGAAGCCAATCCCAGTTCAGGTAATCTTTATTAGTGAATTTCCAGCTGTAACCTGTACCCAGCCATGTTTCAGTACAGACCTTCATGAAGTTGAATCAGCAAGCTGTACGAGCCTTTTCTGCATACGTGTCGTGGGTGGGTTTTTTGGCCTTGCAGTAGGATCATACATCATACAGTTGCTTCAGTTTATCAGGGGTAGAGGTAAAATGCTAAAACTAGATCATTTTTATTTTATTTTTACCTGTGCAGAGGCAGTAGGTAAGATTTTGCACCTGTTACGAATGTAGGACATTCATTTTGGCTAATACACTTGGTAGATGCTTAGAGTTAACATACAGTCACCTAAGGGGTGTTGTGCTTAGTGTCCTCATCATAACTCCCTGTTCACCTTTGCTGGCCAGGCAGTCATCAGCTGTGCAGCTGGTGGCAGGTTGTCCTCTTCTGCTGCTTTGTCAATGCTGGTGCTTGGCCTTGCTGAGCTGTCTTCTGAGTCTGAAGCAGGGTTTGCCTCAGGGATTTTAATGCTCTTCCCTGTTTTATCTCCTGACACTTCAGTAATTTCAGTTCTGTCCTAGTCCTTTTTTTTTATTGTTATTTTTTATTTAGGTTTTTGTTGTTATTGCTGTTTTTTTATTATTATTATGTCTTGTGTGGCTTCAGCTTAGTCAAGATTGAACATGTGTTTCTCCCCAGTCAGTACCCCAATGTGCAGATACCTAATGTCAGAGACATAATGAGTTACAGAAGAGATGCAGATCATAAATAGCTGTATAGTAGCAAGTCCTACATAGAAAACAGTGTAAAAGGTAGCCTTATTTGTAGTGCATTTTCACATTTGTTGATGACTGGGTATCTTTACCTTTTGATCCAATAAAATACTGAAACTGGGATACCACAGTACAGTTTTGCTTCAACAACATGATCGAAACATTAAGAATATTCTAAACCAGGGCTGACACTGAAAATCAGTTAATTTTGTGATAGTTTATTTTACCTACATACCTGAAAATTTGGGTTATGAAATTAAGAAACAGTGACTGTTTAAATAATTTTATACCAACTATGTACCACACTTATTTCTGATGTATCTAATTATCTTTCTGTTGTGTTATTAGGAGATTCTTAAGAATGAAAGTAACAGAGAAGAAATGAAACAGAAAATCAAAGATGTATCTGAAAAGGATAAGCTGCTTCAGGCTCAGGGATACAAGGAGGGACTTGTTGCTGAACCAGCTCATACGCATGTTAAAGGCCATGCATCTGCCCCTTACTACGGAAAAGAGGAGCCTTCACAAGATCCAAGCAGCACTGCAAATACGTTTCAGCCAGGCTCATGGATGCCACCAAGCAGTGATAGTAGTCGTAATAAGTAAACAATTGTACAGATACTGCTAATGGATAAATAGTTTAACACAAACATAAACAGCTCGTATATCTAAGTCTGCAATAAAGTAATATTAAAGTGGTTTCATTTATGTTTGCAGAACTGTTCACATAGGCTTAATCATGACAAACTACTGGAAAATTTTTGGGTTTAGTTAAAATTAGCATTGTGTTACTATGTAAATTTGTTTTCAACAGTTGCTTTTCATCAGTTACATTTGAAATCATAGGAGGTTTTCTACCTTAATTTTCTTAAAAATAAATGAGTTTTTGTCGTGGTTTAAACCCAGTCAGGTAATTCGTTCACTCACTTCCCCCCCCCTTTCTTGCCCTCCCCCTGCTCTCGGAGGGACGGAGAGGAGAATCGAAAAGAATGCAACTCCCACGGGTTGAGATAAGAACAGTTTAGTAACTAAGGTATAACACAAATCACTACTGCTACCACCAATGATAATAATGATAAAGGAAATAACAAGGGAAGAGAATACATCATCTCACCACCAGCCGACCAATAACTCGCCCCCCCCCCCCAGCCCAACCAAGATCCGACCGATAACTCCTCCAACCCTGCCGTCTCCCAGCCCTTCCGGCTAACTCCCAGTTACATCCTGGGCATGACGTGCTGTGGTATGGAATACCTCTTTGGTCAGTTTGGGTCAGGTGTCCTGTCTCTGCTTCCTCCTGGCCTCCCCTCCTCCCTGGCAGAGCATGAGGCTCACAAAGTCCTTGGCCAAACCAAAACATCATTGTTATCAGCTCTGTTCCCATGCTGAAAGTCAAAACACTGCACTACACCAGCTACCAAGAAGGGGAAAAATGACTGCTACTGCTGAACCCATGACAGTTTTCAAGGAAAAAAAGAATTATTTAAAATTGTTTTTTGATGTAATAAATTTTAGTTAATCAGTACACTTGAAATTTTCCTAAGCCTAGGCATCAGTTTGAGATAGTTTTTCAAAATGCTTAATTCCCTTGGCAGTGCCAGTGTGCTTGACTCTGGCAAGTGGATGGAAAAGTTGATCTCATTGACAGGAATCACTATGACACCACACTGACTATGCACTGTATTAGTCTTACAGATATTCTTGTAACTTAAGAAAACAGTCAATGTATTTGAATAATGCTTGATTTGAGCCAGCAGTAAGCACAGGGTAAAATCAAGCTGAATTAAACTACATCTAACTACTATAGCAGAGGTTAGAAGCACTTGGTAAAGTTGCTGGAAAATAACACAAGGTTTGGGACAAGGGACTGTCATTAAGAAAAAGGTTTTATTTATTCTTTGTGTATGCAAGGACTTCCCTAAATTATACATGTATTTGGCCATAGTTTAGATACATAGAATGTGTAGATTACTTGTCTTAGAGATGGTGTTTGAGAACTTCAAGTCAAAATAAAGACCATCCAATTTTTTGAAAAAAAGTATCAAATTTATTTGTGCAGTGCATCCTTCATCAGTTCTCCACGTTTTAAGCTAGTATATGTCAAATATGGAACAGGTACACATTTGACAACACTTGATACAAAACATGGAGGCTTAATCCCATGTGTTTATAAAATGCTGAAATGCCACATTCCAATAATGCTTGCTTTGACCAACAAAACTAAAAAGAGAGCAACAGTACTTCACATTCACTTCACTCCATAAAGACTCCCCATTTCTAATCCCTCTTGGTATCCACCAGCTCTGTAGGTTCTCCCTTTTGAACAACAATATTATTTATGTTTTACTTTTAAACATGATGAAGGTCTAGCTGCTAGAAAGCATAACTCTGTGCCGCTGTTTAGAAATACACTAAATCTAAGAAATTAATGACCGACACAAGCATTTTAGAACTAGACTTAATAAAAAAATTAGGCTTTGAAAAATTAATCGCTTGTTAGAAAAACATTAATTGGTAAATAATGTTGGCATAGTTACAACGCAAACACAACTTGGACTTTTTCCAGCATGGCAGCATTTTGCAACCTGGAAAGCAGCAGAGTTCCAGGGTTCATGAGGGCAGAGATCCCCCGCCCCCGAACTGAGAAGGTCCTAGACCAAAGGTAGCCAGGTTAGCAAGTAGGAAGAACTACTGGCACATCCTCCTCCCATAACCGCCACAAAACACTAGGCCACCTGGGCCTTTGGTCTTGCCCCATTTATGGCTATTCTTTGAGGCATAAAGTGTTTGAAGGCAGAAAACAGTTACAGGTGGAGTATTCAGGTGAGCATTAGGGGAAGCCTAGACAACACAGAAGTGGCTCAAGACAAATGAAGGTAGTTAGAACAAGCAATGAGATTCCTAGAGTTTGGGCTGCATTTAAATACTGTTGATGGCTGGTAGTTCAGGAAGACCTAGGTTGGGTTTTTTTTTTTTGCAGATAAGCCCCACCATCAAAGACACTACAGCATCCTCTACGGGCAGAGAGCCAAATGAACTGCAGGGCCATATGCAGTGTCATTAAAGGAAACTGGTAACATGTGCTACTAAGGAAGACTGATGCAAGCTCATCTCTACAGCTCTGCTGAAGGTCTGCAGAAACTTGCCTTTCTGTAATCTGGTTCACCATTCATAATTTCCCCCATAATTTGACAATTTTAAGACACTTAGGCAATAGCTCAACTAAGGGAAAAAAAATCATCTATGTCCAGAGCCACCCAACATGTTGGTATTTTAGTTTAACATGCAAAGTTAGAAAAGCAACCTGGACTAGAACAAGTAGATTAAATGACTGTAACAAGTGTCATTTGGACAAACTAACACAAATCATTTCAGCAGAAAAAAAATACACTAGAGGGACTAAATTCCCTGCATCAAGAAATTAGAGGATCAAGTATCAAAGGACAGTTATAAAACAGTGTTTCATTTAGGAAATGGATTCTTTGCACAAGGAAGACCTTTTTTTCCCATTTAATCCTTCTTTGTTCGTTTGGCTTTTGCAATATTCTCTTGGCGTTTCTGTTTCTTCTTTTGCTCTCGCTCCCTGGCCTCAATCATTTTTGCAAGCTTCCATGAAAGCGCTGCACTAATTATGAACAATGGTGTAAGGGCCAAGATCACTGTAGTAAGAAAGCCGTATGGGTCCTTTGCAGCCCACTCCACGATGTATTCAGCCCAGGCCTTAATATCAATCATCTTTTCTGGTTTTCTATTGGGAAAACCCTATAGAATAATAAAAAGAAATATTTCTGAGTATTCAGGAAAATAAAGGAATGCATACACACAAACTGTCATTTTAATATGTCGTCATCTTTCATTATTAAAGAGCAGGCTCACTGTTACCAGAAGTTAAAAGTAGTGCATCATATATGACAGTGCAATACAAAGTGTTGACCCTGCCTTAAAGTACAGCCTTTACAAAATAATTAGGCATTTCATCCACAGAGCTTCAGGTAACACCAAGGTGCTACATGAAAAAAGTTAAGTCCATGCTTCTTTGGAAGAGAAGAGAGCCCAGTTGGGTTGTTTAGTCTGGAGAAGAGAAGGCTCAGGGGGGACCTTATCACTCGCCACAGCTACCTGACAGTAGGCAATAGTGAGGTGCGGTCGGCGTCCCAAGTAACAAGTGATAGGACAAGAGGTAATGGCCTCTAGCTGCACCAGGGGAGGTTTAGACTGGGTATCAGGAAAAATCCTTTCCCCAGAGAGGGTGCTCAGGCATTGGAACAGGCTACTCGAGGAATGGTGGAATCACCGTCCATGGAAGTGTTCACAAACCGTGTAGATGAGGCCCTCAGTGACATGGGTTAGTGGTGGTCTTGGCAGTGCTGGGGTCAAGGTTGTACTTGGTGATCTTAAAGGTCTTTTCCAACCCAGTTGATGCTATGCTAAAAGGTGAACTAAAAATAGTCCGGCAGTCAAAAACCAACTCAGGCCTGTGTCAGCGGCGAGGCGCATGGGGGTGCTGGGGAAACCTGGGGCCCCTCGGCCCGGGGCAGGAGCCCGAGCCCGAGAGCGGGGACCCTCCCGCCCGCCACCAAAGCCATCCCTCTCCCCCCTCCCGCCCCCGGCCAGCCGCGCCGCGCCCCGCCCCTCCCCTCCTCTCCCAATGGCCGCGTTGTGGAGCCCTCGACCGCTGCCTCACTCACCGGCGGCGGGGGGGCCAGCGCCGCCCCGGGCACCCTCCGGGCCTGCCGAGCGACGGAAGGCTGGCGCCCAGGTCCCTGCGGAGAGAACACACAGCCCGTGAGAGAGAGGCGGCGCTGCTCGGGCGGAGCGTGACGGGAAGGCACTGCCGGGGCTCGGGGCGGGGCGAAGGGGCCCGCACCACCCCCCCCATCCCTCCCGCCGCCCCCCGACCCCCGGTACCGCTTCCCGGCGGGAGCCCTGCCTGCAGAGCGGAAACAGGAAGGAGGCGCCGGCAGCCGTCACGGCTGGGCGGGGCAGCCCGGCGGCGGGCGGAGCTCCCGGGGCGGGCGCCGGCTGCTGTGGCGGTGCTGGCGTTGCTTGCTTGGCGGAGGCCGTATCTCGAAAAGCCGGGTTTACCGGTGTCCGGGTGGATTTTCACCTCGCAGAACAGCCGCGCTGTTCTGACCCGCTCGGGCCAGTGCGAGGCTGGGACCAGTACCCCGTGATGTTTTCATCTCCCGCTGTGGTGCTGCTCCAGGGCGTGATAGGACCTGCGGGTAGAGCGCAAGTAACTCCTGCCGGTGGCTTGTGGAGGTTCCCCGTGTGCCTCCTGCGCCGTGCGGGAAATCCCGGCAGCCCGGGGCTGTTGGACAGCCGGTGCCCGGCCGCAGTGCACCGAGCAGCTCCCGCCGCGAGCGATCTGTGCCATAGCTGCCCGAGGCTGCCGCTGCTGCGCTGCTCCCCACGGGACTGACCTCAACAAAGGGGCTCAGCGGATCTCTGCGTATTCCGAGTGACTGCAACAGCCTTTAGTGTTCTCAGACTGCACAAGCAGGGTTTGACATTCTGCTTCACGTGTGTTGCACTACGCCTTCCCTTCTCCCTATCCACACGTGTGTGCATGCAAACACTAATGTGAAGGCAAAGTTAAGCATAGATTAGGGTATTAGCTTAGAAAGTGAGAAGATCTTGTAATCATTGACACTGTATTGACCAAATAAGGTGTTCTTTTCGCTGTAGCATGACAGCAAATGCCACCAGGGCATTCCCCTTCATACGTCTTTTTGTTCTGTGATTATTTATATCATTTAAAGGGCGGCAAACAGGCAAATAAATACAATTTGTCAATGAGAGTCACTGACGAGATCTGAGCAATCTAAAATGCTGTAGATTTTGTTGAATGCAGTTTTGTGCATTCAACAAATGCAAATGTGTGAATTTTCATTATTTGTGCATTCTTATTCCAAACCTGTCTGTAGTGTCAAGACTCTTTCCAGAATAGAATAGGATAGGATAGGATAGAATAGAATAGAATACGAGCAGAACAGAATGTAATGTAATATAACCCATCATAACATATCATATCACATCACAGGCTACACTAGTTCAGTTGGAAAGGAGAGGAGTGGCTGGGGAGCGGCCTTGCAGAAAGGGACCTCTGGGTGCTGGTTTGATGCTAAGCTCAACAGGAGTCAGCATGGTGCCCTGGCAGGCAAGAGAGCAAACCGTACCCTGGGTGCATCACACAGTATGACCAGCCAGTCAAAAGATGTGATTCTCCCACTGTATTCAGTGTTGGTGCAGCCTCCCCTGGAGCCCTGTGTGCTGTACTGGGCCCACCATTAAAAAGGGATGTGAAGGCTCTCGAATGCCTCCAGAGGACAACAAAGCTGTTGGAAGGGCTGGAGGGCATGTCCTGTGAGCAGCAGCTGAAGACTCCGAGCTTGTCTAGTTTGGAGACAAGGAGGCTGAGGGGTGACCTCATTGCCCTTGTCAAAAGTCCCTCTCCAGATCTCCTGTAGACTCCTTTTAGGTATTGGCAGACTGCTGTAACATCTCCCCAGAGCCCTATAATCCAGAAAAGCTACACCCACTGCCTCCCATTCACGCGTAGGCAGGTGACCTTATCATAGAATGGTATCAAATTAGTTACACAGGATTTTCCCTCTGTGAACCCATGTTGACTGTGACCAATAATTTATTCTTTGTTCTTTAAGTGCCTTTCAATAGTACCCAGTGTGATCTTCTCCATATGTTTTTTCCAGGAACTGAGGTCAGACTGACATATCCGTAGTTTCCTGGGTCTTCTCTCCTGCCCTTTTTGTAAACTGGAGTAACACTGGCTAGCTTCCAGTCAGAGGGGATCTCCCCAGACTCCCAAGACCTTTGGCAGATATCTGTGCATATATCTCTGTACTTGTGTTACCCAGCCATTTACGTGAGCATTAAACCTCTAGAGAGTTCAAGAGTCCCTGTTTGGTCTGTAATTTGCAAATCTTGTTAAAATATAACAATCAAAATTTACTAGAGCTTAGATATCAGTCCTGAGGTGTTGTATTTATTGGTATCATTATCAGATGTTTTTGCATGCTGTGTAGTTAAGTCAAAATAAGATGGGCTATTACATAAGTATAGCCTATTTATGGTAAAATTGCATATGGGGCAAGAGGGGACACAGTTCTATTTCTGATGCTTGGGTGTCAAGTTCAGGTACTTATGCCAAAATAAGCACTAACTTAGTCAACAGCTATATACAAGCTGCTAAATACCACCACCTTTAGACCTGCTGCAAAATTAAGTTCCAGTTCCTGTATTTCTCATAATAGTAATAGCCTCATCTGTCTGTCTTTCTATGCATTCTCTGCCTTATTGATTTAAAGAGGAAAGTGACTGATTCATTGTGTCAGGGAAGAAATGAAAAGTAGGGACTTTTAATTCTCTTTTCGAGGAAAACAAGTCTTATTTAATTACCTTTTTTGGTATTCTTCTGCCCCTAATATCTTCTGAAGTTGTTGACTGGTTTTATTGGCAAAGTAGTAGAGGTCTCATGCATCTCCTGGTGATACATGTGGGTGCTAGGGACATAGATAGTAGTAGCCTGGGGAACATAAAGAAGGACTACAGAGCCGTGGGGGAGGTGGTTAGGGGCTCTGGAGCTCAGGTGGTCTTTCCATAAATTCTCCAGGGTACAGGGGAGGGAGTAAAAAAAGCTAGGAGGATTGGCCAGGTTAATAACTGGTTAAAAGGGTGGTGTCATAGTCAGGGGTTTGGGTGTCTTTAACACGGGACCCACGCTTGTAGGCCAGGTCTAGTGGGGGCTGATGGAGCTGGTCTGATAAAGAAGGGAAAGAGCAGTTTTGGTAGGAGGCTTGCCAGGCTGGTCAAGGAGGCTTTAAACTAGATGTGTTGGGGGAGGGGGCATCATTCCATCCCAACACATCCAGTCAGTTGCCAGAACCTATAATAAATGCTTAGAGCACTGTAGAGATACACCAGCTGCTCCAGCCAATGAGCCGGCTTCATTTAGAGCTCGGCTCAGATGCCTCTATACAAATGCCCCTAGCATGGGGAACAAACGAGAGGAATTAGAGATGTGTGCACGTCTACGGGGGTATGATATAATAGGCATCACAGAAACATGGTGGGATGGCTCCTATGACTGGAGTGTTGGAATGGAAGGTTACAGCTCTTTAGAAAAGACAGGCCTGGCAGGCGGGGAGGGGGAGTTGCCCTTTATGTTAGGGATAGGCTGGAGAGTATGGAACTGTCTGGGGACAGGTGAGCAGTCCACAGAGAGTTTGTGGGTCAGGGTTAAAGGGAACATAGCTATGGGGGACATTACTGTGGGGATCTGTTACAGACCACCTGATCAAGAAGAACCTGCGGATGAAGCACTCCACGGACAGATAAGAACAGCCTCAGCCTCGCAGGCCCTTGTTCTCATGGGTGACTTCAACCACCCTGACATCTGTTGGAAGGACGGTACGGCCCGGCACAAGCAATCCAGGAGGTTCCTCGACTGTGTGGAAGACAACTTCCTTCTGCAAGTAATAGAGGAGCCGACAAGGAGAGGTGCCATGCTTGACCTCGTGCTCACCAACAGGGAAGGGCTCGTTGGAAATGTGACGCTCCAGGGCAGCCTTGGATGCAACGATCATGAGATGGTCGAGTTTGAGATCCTCAGGAGAGTGAGAAGAGCGTGCAGCAAGCTCACTGCCCTGGACTTCAAGAGAGCAGACTTTGGCCTCTTCAGGAACCTGCTTTAGTAAGGTTCCATGGGATATAGCCCTAGAGGGCAGAGGGGCCCAAGACTCTTGGTTCATATTCAGGGATCACCTGCTACAAGCTCAGGAGTGTGGCATCCCAACCAGAAGGAAGTGCAGCAGGAGGGCCAGGAGACCTCCTTGGATGGATAAGGAGCTGCAGAGGAAAATTCAAATGAAAAAAGAGGCTTATAATAAGTGGAAGCAAGGACAGGTGGCATGGGAAGAGTACAGGGATGTTGTCCGAGAAGCTAGGGACCAGGTTAGGAAAGCTAAGGCTCAGTTAGAATTAAACTTAGCTAGAGGTATTAAAGATAACAGGAAGGGATTCTACAGGTACATAGCAAATAAAAAACGGACTAGGGAGAATGTAGGCCCCCTCAGGAAGCTCTCAGGAGAACTGGCTACACAGGATTTGGAGAAGGCTGAGGTTCTGAATGACTTCTTTGCCTCAGTCTTCACTGGCAAAGGCTCTGACCAAACCACCCAAGTCTTGGAAGGCAGATGGAGGGACTGTGAGAATGAAGACCTTGCACCCACTGTAGGAGAGGAACTGGTTTGAGACCATCTTAAAAATCTGAATGAGCACAAGTCCACGGGTCCTGATGAGATCCATCTGCGGGTCCTGAAGGAGCTGGTGAATGAAGTTGCAAAGCCACTGGCCATCATATTTGAGAAATCATGGCAGTCAGGTGAAGTTCCCGATGACTGGGAAAAGGGAAATATAACCCCCATTTTCAAGAAGGGGAAAATGGATGACCCAGGGAATTACAGAGCAGTCAGTCTCATCTCTGTGCCTGGTGAAATCTTGGAGCAGATTCTCCTGGAAGGCATGCTAAGGCACATGAAAAACAACAAGGTGCTTGGTGACAGCCAGCATGGCTTCACTAAGGGGAAATCCTGCCTGTCCAATGTGGTGGCCTTCTATGATGGGGCTACAGAACTGATGGACAGGGGTAGAGCAGTTGATGTCATCTACCTGGACTTGTGCAAAGCGTTCGACACTGTCCCACACGACATCCTTGTCTCTAAATTGGAGCGACATCAATTTGATGGATGGACCACTCGGTGGATAAAGAACTGGCTGGATGGCTGCACGCAAAGAGTTGTGGTCAATGGCTCAATGTCTGTCTGGAGACCAGTAACGAGTGGTGTCCCTCAGGGATCGGTGTTGGGACCGGTCTTGTTCAACATCTTTGTCGCTGACATGGACAGTGGGATTGAGTGCGCCCTC